CTCCCTTTGATTCATCAGGACTGGGGTGGGGCCCCGGGAATCCCAGGGTTCAAAAAGTCCCTAGTTGATTCTGACGCAGATGAGCCACTAGAGTTGAGGCTTTGCCAGAAAAATGAGGTTTCAAGAAGTTCTAAGACTTGCCCAAGACCTTTGACCTGAGGTAGTCTGGAGCTCCCTTTCCCTCCCACCCCCCCAAGGCCCTAGGTAATATCCTGCCCTGGTCTCTCCCCTTTCTCTCTCGCCTCTTCCCCAGCCCTCTCTGAGCCTAACGTCTGTGTTGTCTTAAATTCTTCCAAGGGGAATATGCCCCAGCAGGAACTATTTTACAGATGCCCACTTCCAAAATGACACTTGCACTCTTTCCTCTTCACCCTAGAGTCCAGACTGTTTCCAACAGCACCAGCAGCATCACCAGGAAGTCTGCTGGACCTGCAGAATTTCAAGCCCCTGGCTCAGACCTACTGAAACTGAATAGATGCCTAGGTGATTCACACCCACTTAATGAAAGTCCCAACAGCTGCTGTCCTAGACATTTCTCAGCCAGATGTTAATCTGATTGTTTGATTAAATGAATCACCACAAAAGCAGTGATTTTCAACCCCGGTTTCCTTTAGAATCAACAATCGGTCTTCTAAAAATGCTAATGCCTAGGACCTGTCCCCAGACAAAACCAATCAGAATCTTTGTCGGAGGTGAAGCTTATGCATATATATTTTTAATAACATGTCATGTGAGTGTAATGTCAAATTAGGATACAAAATCACTCTTTAAAGGGCGCCTGGGTGGCTCAGTGGGTTAAGCCCCTGCCTTTGGCTCAGGTCATGATCTTAGGGTCCTGGGATCGAGTCCCGCATCAGGCTCTCTGCTCAGCAGGGAGCCTGCTTCCTCCCCCCACCACCCCGCCTGCCTCTCTGCCTACTTGTGATCTCTGTCAAATTAAAAAAAAAAAAACACCAAAATCACTGCTTTAAAGATTTACTTATTTATTTGTGACAGAGCTAGCAAGAGTGGGAACACAAGCACAGGGAAACTGGAGAGGGAGAAGCACGCTCCCTGCTGAGCAGGGGCTCAATCCCTGAATGCTGGGGTCATGACCTGAGCTGAAGGCAGCTGCCCAATGACTGAGCCACTCAGGCACCCCCAAAGTCACTGCTGTATAGATTGAAAAATTTATGGGACTGTTTAGAAACAAAAGTGCTTTCAGTAAAAAGTAAATATGCATAAAACTGCAGAATGGTTTCTCATAACATTCAGATAAATCTCATATTTCTCACGTTGGCACCAAAGGCCCTTTCTGATTATGAGTCCTGTAGGCCTCTCCAGCCCATCTCCTGCTCCCCTGTCCCTACATGCTAGGGGGCGCCAAACCACGTGCATTGCCCCCCCAAAAGTCCTTTTGCTTCATATTTCCACCGCTTTATCCAAATTCTCTTTAATTAATTTTCCCTTTTCCCTTATCAAACCCTCAACTCCAGGCTTCTGCCTCTGGAAGGCCTTTAGCTATTTGGATTGCCAGCCACATCTCAAGGATGGGGCCCCAAGCAGACCTAGGCTAGTGTCTCCCATAAGTCTTATCTTCCAATAACACTGGGGAAGGGACCCCTGGGTGGCTCAATCCCTTAAGCCTCTGCCTTTGGCTGGGGTCATGATCCCAGAGTCCTGGGATTGAGCCCTACATCTGGCTCCCTGCTCTGCGGGGAGCCTGCTCCCTCTCCCCTGCGATGCTACCCCTGCTTGTGCTCTCTTGCTGTCTATCAAATAAATAAATAAAACCTTTTAAAAAAAGAACATTGGGGAAATGCTAAACATTAGAACGTGCTAATGCAGGGACGACCCTTGAATACTGTTTCAAGTTGATTTAAACGGCAGCAAAATGCACAGGCCAGAGTCTGTGGGCATAAGAAGAAATCAGTTTTGTCTCCTACAAATTTGTGCATACCTAACACACACACAAAAGAAAGCCCACCCTCATGCCCCCCTTCACTAGGAAAGAGCTTTTGGTGCATCATGTAATCCTTACTCATTTGATATCTAATTTCACACATAAATTGCTTTTCCTCCCTTTTGATTTTTAGAAACAGCCTGAAATGAACATTGTTTTTTCATTTATTTCTCTATATTGAGAATGTCCTTCCTTGAATTGGACATGAGGAAAATTTTGAATTTACTTTTCATGTTTTGGTGACTCATTGTAGAATATGGAAACTTTGGCCCAAATTATAAGGAAATGTTTAAAAGCCCCGGAGAAATGTTTAAACCTTCTCTTGCACAAGTAGTGCGCCATCTTGCAAGAAAGTCTGAACATCTCTGAAATATGTGGTCCACTTTTTTCTTCAAATTTTTCCCCAACCTTTTGAGCAACAGGAGTAAACACCAAGAGTACACATTTCTGCTCTTGAATGCTCTGACATCTAAATTCTCCCTGTCCTGTCTGCTCAGAACTGGGTTGAGAGAGACAAACATTACTTAAAGAGAAAAATGACAGGTCTTAGCACTAGAAAATCAACACCCAGCAGTTTCTTTCATTTGTTCATTTAACAAGTATTTATTGAGCACCTACCATCTATCAGCCCAAGGGATAGATACTTCCGCAAAGGAAATCATTCTCATCAGGGTCATTGCCGTTTCTGGTGATCTCTACCTTGGCAAATGTAATGGTCAGTTCTCCATTCTCCTCTTACTCCTTCTCTCAGAGGATTATAGATTTTACCTTCTTTCCCTCCTCAAATACTTTCTTCTCTAGGCTTGTAATGCACCACATTCTCCTGGTTTTCCTACTATCCTCCTGGTCATGACTTTGCTGTTGACCTACTGGCTCCTCTTTTTCCTGACAGCAAACTGTTGGACCTTTCATCTCCCCTCTCTATACTCTCATCCTAAGTGATTTCCTCTAGTCCTGTAGCTTAATATCATCTAGATGTTAATGACTTCCAGATCTGTGTCTCTAATTCCTCTCTTTAACCTGAGCCCTAGACTAGGTCGTCTATCCAATTGCCCATGTACTATGTCCACTTGGATGTCCAACAGACATTTTAAATAGAACTATCCCCCCTAATGTCCCTACCCCAAAGCTGCTCGTCTCCCAGCCTTTCCCACTTACTAAATTTGCTTGACCAAAAATCTAAACATTAGAGACTGTGTTTGGCTGCATGTAACAGAATCCAACTTAATCAGAGAGTGCTCATTCTTTCTTCACATGAGAAGACCAGAAACAGGCAGACCAGGGCTGGGCAGTGCCTCCTCAGGGACAACAATGTCCCAGCTCCTTCTCTTTTTCTTCTCCAGCCTCATGGTGGCAATCGGGCAGCCTCACCTCCAGCCTCACATTTACATTCCAATAAGCAAGGAATGAACACGGTGGAAGGCACAGAACTGATATGGAAATAACAAAACATTCCCAGAAATTCCCAGGAGACTTCTGCTTCTATCTCAAGGTCCAGAACTGTGTTACAAACTCCATCTCAGCTGCAAGGGAGGCTGGGAAATAGAGCTTTTTAGCTGGGCATGCTGCTACCCTGCACAAATTAGGCTTCTAATCTATGGGGGGAAATGAAGAACAGATATATCCTGCACTGCCCTCCTTTCTGACACTTCCTCACCAGTCCACTGGCATGTCCTATGGCTCCTACAGCCAAAGCACTTAACAAATTGATCTCCATTGCTTGAAACCTGGGCTGAGAAACCACTGTCTCTTGCTCAGAACACAAGAATGGCCGCCTAACTAATCTCCCTCTTCCGCATTGGCCCTCTCCATAGCCCTTTCTTCACACAGTAGCCAAAAAGTATAAATACAGGGGTGCCTGTCTGGCTCAGTGGGTAGAGCATGTGACTCTCGATCTTGGGGCTATGAGTTTGAGCCCCATGGTGGGTGTAGAGATTAAAAATAATATCTTAAAAATAATAATAATAAATTTATAAAAAGAAGTATAAATCTCATTAACCATTTTCTTTCTAAAATTCTCCAAGAGATCTGTCATAATCTGGTCTCCCCCAAGCCGACTGTAAGACAAGAATTTGCATGCAAGTTGTTTATTTGAGAGTGCAGACACACAGGGTAGGGGTATGGAGTGAGACAAAGAAAGGGAGGGAGCACAGAGAAGGTATGACATCAAGCCCGCCTCCCTGGGCAGGGCAGGCCATTGAAGCTTAACCCCAGGGGAAGCACTGGGAAGTGATGTGAAACACTTGCCCCGGAATTAAGGGACCCAAGAGGCAAGGGAAGGTATTTATACACCAGCCTTTAAGAGTGGCTGGCTTCAGCTCTCCTGGCTTAGATTCCTAGCCCTGAATGCACCTCCTCTCCTGACCTAGCTCACTGACAAATCTAGCACTTTCTTCCATTTATCAGCCTTTCTGCTTATAGACCTGCACAACTTCTTCCATTTGAAGCAGAATCACAAGAGGGTGGGAGAGCCACTTAATTTTGTTAATAGGATTAGAAGCTTCAAATACAATTTAAGTGTGATAATGACTCTTAGAAGTTTGCTAAGCTTTAGTACCATGTGAAAGTAGCTAAATTTTGTGATGCTTGTTTTTGACAGATTAAAAAAAATGCATAAGCACCTTAGTAGTATAGGAAAATTTCAAGTAGGGCATAGAAGATCTGGAATATTTAAATCTATTTATTGGGGTGCCTGAGTGGCTCAGTGGGTTAAGCCTCTGCCTTCGGCTCAGGTCATGATCTCAGGGTCCTGGGATCAAGCCCCACATTGGGAATCTCTGCTCGGCAAGGAGCCTGGTTCCCCCTCTCTCTGCCTGCCTCGCTACCTACTTGTGATCTCTCTCTCTCAAATAAACAAACAAAATCTTTTAAAAAATAAATAAATAAATCTATTTATTAAGGTACACATCATTTAATAATATGAGTACTTAATTATATGTATATTATATCTATAAATGGCATTTATTATAACTATAGGTCTCAAAAGACTATAGATGAACAGGAAGTAAATAACTATTGGATATACTTCTGCCCTTAGATAAGCTTACTATACTTATCTTTATTTTCCTTTCTTCTTCAATTGTTCTACGAAGTAATCATTATAAGCCACTGTCAGAGCTGCCACCATGGCCACGAATTCATTAAAATCCACTTCATTGTCCTTATTGGCATCCAGGTCCTGCATTATCTTATCAACCAACTGGGGGTCCTTTTGGCACTAAAAGGAAAAAGAAAATTTCTAACTCCCAGGCTTTGAGGTTCACGACAACCAAAATTGCATTTACATTCAAGTTTTTATTTCCATTTTGGCATCTAAGGACAATTCCCAAGAGCCCATGTGCAGGTAGAATTGGTTTTATTTTTTATTTTTTATTTTTTTTTAAGATTTTATTTATTTATTTGACAGAGAGAGATCACAATCAGGCAGAGAGGCAGGCAGAGAGAGAGGAGGAAGCAGGCTCCCTGCTGAGCAGAGATCCCGATGTGGGGCTCGATCCCAGGACCCTGAGATCATGCATGACCCAAGCCGAAGGCAGCGGCTTAACCCACTGAGCCACCCAGGCGCCCCTAGAATTGGTTTTAAATCCAATTCTAAATGAGTCTGGCCTTCTGCTCCAGGGCCATGTAATTCTGGCTCAGATCTAAACACCAAGAAGAGCAAACAGCATCTCAGCAAAGTGAGCTGCTGCGCCTGAAAATGCATTTACACTACTTCAAAGGTCGGGGGGCCAGGACTCCAAACCAGAACAAAGCAGACTTTACAGCCAAAAGGGGATAGTAGGTGGCTCTACCATTTACCAACAATGAGGCTTGGAGCAAATCATTTAACATTTTTGAATTTCCTTATTTCTAAAATGGGAAGACTATCTCCCCACAAAGCTGGGGGAGACAGGTTGCTAGATTTAGTAAATAAAAATACAGACATTCAATTAAATGTGAATTTCAGAATGGGAAAAAAAAAAAACTTATGTCCCTAATATTGCATGGGACATAACAATATTTTATCTGCAGCCTTACTTGGCACAGCACCTGATACACAAAGAGGCATCTGGTGAAGAGTAGGTCTTAGAAGGATGACTGCATTATAGGGGTGGAAAGTAAAGCAGAAGCCCATAGAAGAGGTCAGGCTTCAGAATGGGTGGGACTTGAAGCCTTCACCTGTCCTTTGATGGGTGGTTGCTGAGAAGTATTTCTAAAAGTAGTTCATTCCCTCCAAGGATTCCCGTTGCCCTCTCAGTAGGCGCCAACCATTAAAAGGTTGGAAACTTTAATGAATCAAAATCAACTTGATCAAAACAACAATAAACTTCATGTGTTGTTGTTTTTTTTTTTTAAGATTTTATTTATTTATTTCTCAGAGTGAGCACAGGCAGACAGAGTGGCAGGCAGAGGCAGTGGGAGAAGCAGGCTCCCTGCTGAACAAGGAGCCCAATGCGGGACTTAATCCCAGGACGCTGGGATCATGACCTGCGCCAAAGGCAGAGACTTAACCAACTGAGCCACCCAGGCATCCCAACAACAATAAACTTCATTTGAATAAATCAGTGTGACACATTTGACCTGCTGAGACTTTTATTCTAAATGTTTTTATAAACTAGTAGCCAAACTGAAAAGGCACTGGGAAGAATTACTATGTTAAACATTTTTTACTTTAGGGGCACCTGACTGGCTCAGTTGGCAGAGCTTGATGATGGAGAGGACTTAAAATTTTTTTTCTTTTTTTTTTTTTTACTTTAAGGTTTTCCTATAGAGGGAAAAGAAGAAAAGAGTGTCGTAGTTACAAATACTGGAGTCTTTATTTTTTTTTTTTAAGATTTTATTTATTGATTTGAGAGAGACACAAGGAGGCAGAGAAGCAGGCAGAGAGAGAAGGGGAAGCAGGCTCCCTGCTGAACAGAGAGCCCCATGTGGGGCTCGATCTCAGGACCCTGAGATCAGGACCTGAGCCAAAGGCAAGAGACTTAACCCACTGAGCCACCCAGGCGCCCCCAAATACTGGAGTCTTAACACGGGGTTTGGACAAATAACACCATGCAAGGATAACACACTGTGCTAAAGGCAATTCGAGGTGTCTGCATAAACATCAGAGTAAAGGGTTTTCCTCAGAACCCAAACACTCCACTGGAAGATTTCCTGTGTAGACTTTAATGAACTCCTGGCTATTTTGAGATGTGAACCTCTTTGCTACCTGACCGGTCACTGGCCAGACACACCCTCTCTGACCCTCGGAATCAGCCTGTGCTGGTCTGACAAAGCTAAGAATTTTTCATTTACTGGAAAACCTGCCTCTGCAGCAAAAAGTACCCCAGGTTTCACTTCTGGCCCAATACATAATATTAATTTTACAGACAGATACGTGAAGCTCTAGCTCTAACTAGTGCCACTAGTTATTAATTCTAACCCCTGCACCGCAATGTTGCACAATTGAGAAAGCCTGAATGCCTTTTGCAACCCTTGGAAACCCTAGCCACAGGCAACATGGAGAAGGGTACATGCCTATCTAGAGATGACCCTCTGGTGACACGGGGTAGGGGTGTTGGCCCCTTCCACCCCACACACAGACGAAAACCTACCTTCAACTTGTGACTTTCCGACTTGCCAAATCCTCAGCTGCTAAGAGCCTGCTGTGGACAGGAAGCCTAACCAGTAACATAAACAGTAGATTAACACTCGCTTTGTGTCTTCTATGTATTATATACTATCTTCTTCCAATAAAGGAAGCTGGAGAAAAGGAAACGCTATGAAGAAAATCCTAAGAAAAAGTATATGTACAGGGGTACCTGTGTGGCTCAGTGGTTAAAGCCTCTGCCTTCGGCTCGGGTCATGATCTCAGGGTTCTGGGATCGAGCCCCGAGTCCAGCTCCTGCTCAGTGGAGAGACTGCTTCCCGCCCCCCACCCCCGCCACCTGCCTCTCTGCCTACTTGTAATCTTTGTCTGTCAAATAAATAAATAAAATCTTTAAAAAGAAAAAGAAAGAAAGAAAGAAAATACATATACAGCCCCGGACTAGAAGAGATCCACAATAGGAGGACCCACGCAGCACAGACCCGGGATGGTCAAGGATCAAGTGCACACAGAAAACACAGGCCTCCGGGGTTTGCTTGCCCCTAGCTTTGAACCTCAGTACCAACCACACCGTTGGTGGCAGGGTCATAGGAGGCGTTGCACGGAGGCTCTCCTTGGACACGTACCCCATCCATACTTGACCGCCCTGGGAGGTGGGAAGCTGCAACTCACCGAGAGGAACTGCGTGAGCTCTCGCTGCAGGAGCATTTTCAGTTCCCCCTTGCTGAGCTTGAATCTGTCCCCTGCCTTGCAAGAGTACCGGTGGAAGGTCGTAATCATGATGTTCATGGCCACCTCCAGCTGAGTGGGCATGGTAGACGGACCACTCCAGGCACGGGTCTGAACCCAGGGGAAAAACACTTGTTTCAAAACAAGCAGACAGGGAAGCATCAACACTTGCATTAAAAGAGAATACTGCCTCTGGGAGTCCCCCTCCTCACGCCACAGGTGGTGGTTGTTCAACCCTAATGCCCTTCAGTGGAAGCCTTCTGCCGGTCTCGGGCGGGCTGCATAGGAGAACTTTCACAGGGGAGTTTTCTCCTCCCAATCCCCACTCCCCCCACATCTAGCAGGCCCCGCGTGTTCGCAAGTTAGCGATCAGACACCAGTACAGGGTCATTTCAAAACATAACTTAAAATAATAATAATAAACAAAAATAAAATTAGATAAAAATCAATTAAAAATTAATAGAAGATGAAGAAAGTACCCAACCTCGTACCTGTTCAGCCAGGTCACTGCTCTGTTAACAGGTGTTTATAATTAAACTCTACTCATTTATACCCGGGGTTTCACCTACGCACACCTGTTCCCAAGAAGACCCAAATTACCAGCGACAAGAGATTCAACTGGAAGTGCCTGTGTGTCTGTTTTTAATCATCAGCAGGAACAGGTGTGCCCTGCTGCCCCCGGGGCCCTCAAGTTAGCTCTGGCACCCACTGTGGGCATTAAAGGAGATGGCAAGGAGAGGCAAGGAGGAAGTCTTCCGTTCTCTCACGGTGGGGAATATGAGCGGACATTGCAGCCAGATGCTAGGGTAGGCCATGGCTGGGAAGAACTCTGAAAACAGAGGAGAAAAGAAGAGACACTGGTTCAAACCTGGAGACTTCTTAGCCAGATCAATAGCAAGGTCAAGGGAGTAAACAGAGCAAACTAGTTAAAGTAATCCAGTGAACGGTTGTGTCGCTGTCAAAAAAGAAAAGAAAAAGAATGTGAAAGCTCTCCATGGCAAGTCAGAAAGGAACAAAGTGATCCCCTCTGTGTACCAAGAAAAAAATCCCACAATCACATATGCATACATACTTGCATTTGCCCTTGCAGTCACTAAAAGGACGCTTACGAAATAGAAGCGTGGCTCTAAGGAGCTAGAGGCATAGAGGATGGAACAGAGTGGCTGGGAGTAAGTTACTCATTTATACGTTTTCAACTTATTTTAACTTTTTCAGTTAAAGGAATGTATTACCTGGCCAAAAAGTGGAAATAGAAAAAAAGCCTAGAGCAGCTATATGCTGGCTACCACAAGGGGTAGGGTTCGAAGTGAGACAAAGTTAACAAAGAAAACAAAGTTAACAAAGAAAAAGAAAAAAAGGGCTCCTGGGTGGCTCAGGAGGTTAAGAATCTGCCTTTGGCTCAGGTCATGACCTGGGGGTCCTGGGATTGAGCCCCTCATCTGGCTCCCTGTTCAGTGGAGAGCCTGCTTCTCCCTCTCCCTCTGCTGCTCCCCCTGCTTGTGTGCTCTCACTTTCAGGCTCTCTCTCAAATAAATAAATAAAATCTTAAAAGAAAAAAAAAACTAAATCCAGAAATTGCCCACTGTGCTTTTATTTTATTTTTAGTTTTCACTTTTACTTTACTTTTTTTAGAGGTTTATCTATCTGAGAGAGAGAGAGAGAGGCGGCAGCAGGAAGGGGCAGGGGGAGAGGGAGAGAGTCCTCAGCAGACCTGGCGCTGAGCGCTGAGCGAAGAGCCAGAGATGGAGCTCGGACTCAGACCCAAAGATCACAACCTGAGCAGAACCCAAGAGTCAGGGACACTTAACCGACTGTGCCACCCATGCGCCCCTTGGCCACTGTGCTTTTAAATGCTGCCTGTTCTCTCGGGGCTGAAATTCAATTATATAAAAAGCAATATTTATATTTCCTTGCAATAAGCCTGTTGGGATGGAGTCTCAGCCCATTCCCCTCCCCCTTACCACTCCCACATTCCCCTTGAAACCTCCCTCGAGGTCCTGGGGGATGTTCTCACTAGATACCTAAAATCCAATTCTCAAAAATATTTTTAAATTAGTGTTTTATTATTAAAGGAATAACGCATGTGCTAAAATAATATTTTCAATACTCAAGAGTATAAAAGTAAAATTCTTGTTCCACCGTTCCCCATCCTAGTCCCTCTCCATTAACACTTTCCTGGGTGAGAGGCAGGATTGTGCTGCTGAGACGCTGGGACTCCCTGGCTTCAGCTCTCACCTCTGCCTCGAACTTGCTGGGTGATCCCAGGCTCGTCACTTACCGCGCTGTTTCCCAGCCGGTATAAATGGGATAGCAGTAGTACCTACCTAACAGAAAGCATTAAATGAGTTACAATATGTGCCTGCAACATAGTAAATACTATGTATGTGTCTGCTATCATTATCTTACAGAAAAAAAAATATGTAATTTGTGTAAGATATGCAATATTACATATGTGTCCTTAAACATATACATACATAATAGTATTGACGTGTGGTACACCTTGTTTTTTTCACTTAACATACCTTAGAAATCTTCTTATGTCAGCACATAAACCTAGCCCATTCTTCACTAAAGTGCATATTATTCTGCTGGATGAATGTACCTACATATAGGCAAGAAATATTTACCAGGCATTGCTGTTACACCAGGCCCTATGTAGAGAAGACAAAAGAGCTTTACCCTCGGAGCAAATTTGTTGTGATTTATTATTTTTTAAGTAGGCTCCAGGCCCAGCATGGAGCCCCATGCGACGTTTGAATTCACAACCCTGAGATCAAGACCTGAGCTGAACTCAAGAATTGGAAGTTTAACCGACGGAGCCCCCCAGGCGCCCCCTCGTTTCTGTTGAAATTGTGTTAAACATAGAGAATGCAGGGAACACTGGCACCTGTTTTATGTTAGGTCTTCCCCCACAAGAACACACCTATGGCCTTGTGACCATACTTTTCTGGGTCTCCTCATTTCTAAATGCGCTCTTTCCAAAGCTTATCATTGACCCCACCACCACCCCACCATGATTCCAGCTATTCCTGTAATTTCAATCACTCCCCAAATTGTATGTTTGGCCTCTATCTCTCTGCTAAGCTCCAGAACCATCTCTCCAATAGCCTGCTAGTCTCAATTCCTACCTCAATGTTCCACAAGCGTCTCAAATTCAATCAAGACCAGAGTTAAACCCATGCCCTCCCCACCCAAACCTGCTCCTGTGGCATCAGCCGCTCAGGCCAATATCCCTACCCACCACCCAGCTACCCTCATCATTTTGTTTTATTCGTTTTTTAAAGATTTTATTTATTTATTTGACAGCGAGAGACTAAGAGAGAGAGGGAACACAAGCAGGGGGAGTGGGAGAGGGAGAAGCAGGCTTTCCGGCAGAGCAGGGAGCCCGATGCGGGGCTCGATCCCAGGACTCAGGAATCATGACCTGAGCCGAAGGCAGACGCTCAACCACTGAGTCACCCAGGCGCCCCTGCATTTTAAACATCAGTGGAACACACCCATTTCTCTCTATTCTTCCCTACCTCAGGCTTTGTAATTTTGGTCTCTATCAGCAGAACAGAGGTAACTTCCTTACTGCTCTCTCTGCTTTCTGTTCTCCATTCCCATTTCCATTTTGCTGTCAGAGTTGTTTATCAAAAACACAGATCAATGCCTTCGCCCCTGGGCATTCACAAGTCTGACCCTGCCTACGAACTGACCAGAAGACTGCCCTCTCTTACTCTTCCCTTGCCTTGGCACATTCTGAGAATGCTCCTTCTGGCCACTCCTTGAAGCTCGGTTCACGTATCTCCTCTTGGAAGTTTTCCAGCACTTTCCCTACCTCCAACCTCCCACCTCTGTCCTCTCTTATCACTGGAGCCTCTCTTTATTGTTTTTATCATTTCACTTAGCACACAGTCCTATAATCAGGCTTGTTGTTGTTGTTGTTTTGTTCTGTTTTTGTCTGCCCATATACTCCCTGCTCTCCAGACTTTGAATGAGGCCCTTGATGGCGGATTTGGTATCTGGTCCATCTTTCCATTCTATAGCACTTAAGAGCAAGATCCAACAATATGGGGGGGGGGGGGCGCACCTCGGTGGTTCAGTGGGTTAAAGCTTCTACCTTCGGCTCAGATCATGATCCCAGGGTCATGGGATCGAGCCCCGCATCGGGCTGTCTGCTCAGCGGGGAGTCTGCTTCCTCCTCTCTCTCTCTGCCTGCCTCTCTGCCTACTTGTGATCTCTGTCTGTGAAATAAATAAATAAATAAAATCTTAAAAAAAAAAAAAAAACCAGTATGAGGGAAATGCTCAGAAATCTTTGCTGGTGGATGGTTTAGTGAGCAAATGACCCAGAAGGGAAACTGTAAGATCTCCAAAGATTTAGCCTTGTTGAGTTTAATTGTCTAAAGAATTATTTGATTGCCTTTATTTCACACAAAAAATTTTGTTTCATCAAAGGGAGAAAGAGATGACAGACAACAGTCATTTCAGAGAATACAAAGAGTTTGAATTTGGAATTAAATATTTTCAGATTAAGTTGCTGAAGTTATAAATGCAGCCAAATGGGTAACTCTTGCAGGTGATATATGTCTCAGCAGCATATTTAAATCTTATTTTTTTTTTTTTTTTTGACAGAGATCACAAGTAGGCAGAGAGGCAGTCAGAGAGAGAGGAAGGAAGGCAGAGGCTTTAACCCACTAAGCCACCCAGCGCCCCTTAAATCATATTTGATCACAAATTAATTTACTTGGAGAATTCAGTTGACAAGCAAAACTCTTAATAGAATAGATATTTAAAACTGTAACGTTATAACCTGAATCAAGAGATGAGAATGTGCTCTCTATATTCTTTGCTCTTGGGGTTTAGAAACAAGGTTTCCACTTGGTTTGTGCTTGGCTTCCGCGGAGCTAGATGTTTCTTCTGGTAACTGCTGCCCCTTAGTGTCCAGCCACATCACTGCAGCTGGAAGCCCTCTAATTCCAGAAAGCTCTGGAAACTGTAAAGATTCCAGGCCCTTCAGGAGCTTATCTGTGATGTAAGCCAGCCCCGGCCTCTGCCCTCCAGGAGTCTCTCAGAAACCAAGATAAAGTCAAAAGCCTTAAT